TTGGAATTCTTATACGAAAATTTACGAGCACAATAAATTTATATTTTGTATTTTTAACTGCGAAAATGTATTAACGTAATTATTAGAAAAATATTTGAATGAAAAATAAATGATATATATATATATATTTTTGCAGCAACGATCTCGGTTTTTCCACGATTACAAGTGAGTACGGTTCAAGCATTTGGTTTAGTCACGAAGGATTCCCAGGACGAAGGTTCGATTAGAGAATCCTCGTTCGTTTTACTTCAATTCGTTAACGCCTTGAAAAGTCTTCAAGCACGTGGAATCGAAGAATCCTCGAAAGGTCTGAGTAACGTGATGCTTTGTCGAGAGGATAAGGATGCCTGCTATCGACTTTATCTTTTGCAAGGGTTGGTCAATCCCTTTTTTTTTCTTTTTACTTCCTCCTCTTATTATTATTATTATTATTTCGTTCTTCAGAAAATATTTACTCGCTTTGCTAAACACCAACAACAACAACAACTGACAATCCTTTTTTTCTTATTTTTTCGCAGATTAAACGTGGACACTTGCGACGTTAGAAGTGAAGAAAAGGTTTCTTTGTGTCAGTGTGCCTTGGTTGCACTACAACAATTACACTTGACCAAAAAACTTCCTCTAGTCCAGGAATTATTGTTACGCGAAAAAGCAGTTACCCTTTCTCAGGTATAAACGAGACGAGTTTACAATATATATATTTATTTTGTTTTCATTGGAGAATTAATTGTTCATTTTATTATATCTTTTATTTGTCTCTTTTTCATATTATAATTCTAAATTCTCAAATGGATACGACGAAATTTTAACAAACTATTCGACAATATGATATTCTTATTATCGTCGTTATCAATAATATACATTTTTCTAGGTAAAATCATTGCTCGAATTTTCTCTTTGGGGTCCGGACGATGTTACCACATTTGGTTTAGCAAAAGAAAGGGAAGTTACTCTTCAAAGATGGCTAGATCTTGAAAGAGCAACTATACTTCATGCTTTGGTAAGAACCCGAGCACCCTTGGCTATTACCGACGAATATCAATTATTATTTTTGGTACGTACCAGCGCGAAAATGATGTGCGAGGCATCGATTTTATTGGACGAACAGAACAATCGTTTGTCGCGTGTTAGTTGAAGTTGGGATAAAATTTATATATTTTTTTATGTAATTATGAAATTATTTATCTAAAGTTAGAAAAGAAGAAGATAAACGCGAATTTATTAATATCTCGTTAATATTTGAATTCGTTGAGATACGATTAAAAGAAAAGTAGAAGACAAAACAAAAAAACAAGGATACGCAATTTAAAGCAATCAAACGAATTTCTTTTGTATTATGTTTTTATTATAGTTTATTTTCTATATTCTTTTTTCCCTTTTTTTTCTTCTTATTTTTTGTATTATCAATGTTACGTTATTCATTTTCAATAATTTATCGTAATTATATGCGACTTAGCTTTACGTGCGAGTCGTACAAATGTATTTAGATCTGATTAACAAGTATATATAATATTTAACTCTGTTTATAATTATATTTAGTAATTTAAATGATAACAACAAATATATACGTGCCAATTTTCGATCAAATCGTGACAATACTCGCCAAACTAATCAAATTGAAATATAATAATTTATATTATTATTCTCTCTTGTGCGATATGAGGTATTATTTGATAAGTATATATATATATAGAGAGAGAGAGATTTTAATTATCGTTGATTATTACGAAAAACAAAACAAACATAAGCATAATATAAGCGTATAAAGTAAGTAAAAAATATAGTTTTATACTTTATATATATATACATATATATACATATTTTAATATAAAATATTTCGTAGAAATTTTTGCAACATATTTGTACAAAGAAAACGGTGTGCCTTTGTTTTGTAACGCTCTCATTAAATAAAATACCAGTTTTGTTAGGTTATTCCTTTAATTAGGTATCCCTCCCCTCCCCCATTTCTACGTACGACGATTTTTGTTGCACGATGCGACAACGACAAATAATAATTAAACAAATTATTCGTATACGTTGATATAATTCAATTTCAAACGATAAACGATACCCGAACATTTAACAAACTGATACAATTTTTTAATCTCCAACATATCATTTTTATCAATTGAAATAAATTCTTTTACGAGATTCATATTTTATTTTATTTAAATATCAATATTAAGAGCTAACACACGAAAATCAAAAAATACGTAGTAACAATTTTATTCGAGAAAAAGATGGATCAAAAGAGATCGCCGATGATGAGAGAAGAGAAAAGGGGGGTGAGACCAGAGAGAGGAGGTGGAGGAAAGGGGTGGTCATTTGCTGGTTCGTACAGGCAAACTCTCTCGCACGAATGATATGAAAAAAGTTTTTAATTACACTTTATGAATTTTTACTTTATATAAAAGTGAACGAACGCGACCGTTGGTTAGTTGGTTGGTTGGTTGGTTGGTTGCTTAGCTTTTTTCGTTGTTTCTATATCGAATACAAGTATGTATACAAATTTATACATACTTTATTATAAAACAGTTTGAAAATATCGAAGATACGGAATTTGTGTCTACAGTTGCAAAGGTAATGTTAATTAATTTACAAACGCGCGATATTAAATTTATTATTATTTTTTTTTTTCATTATATATATCATATTACTCATGGGGGAGGGGGGGGGAATGCAAAACAACACTTGCACGAAAATTGAAGCTCGTATATTACGTTAGAATATTAGTCTGATAAATATATCGATACTCTCTCTCTCTCTCTCTCTCTCTCTCTCTCTCTTTGTGTGTGTGTGTATGTATGAGTGTGTACCCATTAATTGTGGTATGTCTGAGAATGTCAGGTGGCAGGCATAATTCACGCATAAGCCCGTCGTCGTCGTCTCTCGTACATTTCATACTCTACCAGAACCATATTAGAAGGATGAGGATGGCACGAGGAAAAGGGAAAGGGGTAGGGGAAGATATGTGTGTATGAGAGAGAGAGAGAAAGAGAAAGAGAATAAACATGAGTGTGTAATTTATATACACTAGCAGAGAGAACCGGCAACAAATTGGCAAAGCTATAACTGGAGAAAATGTAAGTTAACGCTTCCTCACGTGTTAGCCACGCTGCGAAAACACTTTTCCACTTTTACATTGTATCCTTGGACCATGGCCAACTGGCTCTCGTAGAGTCCGTTAGGCTCTCTTTTGCTATATATGTGTTAGCTGGACCTATTGACTCTCTTCTACGTGATTGTACACTGCACACACATATGTATGTAAACTAACCAACGAATCTGTTTAAAACACGTTAACCGATTTAGTCTCTCGAAATTATTATTTGCCATACCTTCGTGGATTCATTATTTTTACAAGCTACGATTCAAATTTTCGCTTAGATATCAGCAATTTTGATGTCTAATGAGTGATCCATTCGTGCTTGAAATAATAAAAAAAAAAAAAAGAAAAAATGTAAATCGTATTATCATGTGGAAAATAATCAATTGATTCGTGTTCCTTAAAAAATCGTATAATCAATATGATTATTAAATTTTTCATCGAAAATTATTCGGATATAACGTGTTTAGGATTTTAAATATATGTTTAGAAATAAAAATATATTTTAAATTAAATATTTGTTCATATTAGTTTATCATGAAAAATTTTCAATTCATAATCAACGCTGGTCGGAGATGTTAAAAAACAATTCAAAATATTAATAGAATTAATTAAAGTGTTCGATATATCTTAAATGATTGATAATTAATCGAAAAAAATGTGTATTGCAATTTAGAAGCACTGGGTATATGTTCGGAGCACTGTCCTCTTCGAAATCCACCGTTGAAATGAGACATTATCCTCTATCAAATTACTTTTATTAAATGTTGTTTATATGACTTTCCGAACGTTGCGCATGTGTATAAAAGGAATAATCCATAAATCAATAAAATTTAAGATTATAACGTTCTCATTTTAGTATTTTTTTCATTTTTTTGTAATTATTTTAATGCTTCTGCGCATTAATGATTCCGAGGATAAAATTTTTTTGTAATATAAGACAAGTGTATTAGAAAATTAAAATAATTGTTAATTAATCGATGGAAACGTAAATTGTGTAATATAAAAATATGGTTGCACTTTTTAATGAAACCTCGTGTTAGATTGACACGTTGTCATCTAAAAAAAATTCTTTTATTAAATGATTTTTTTACATGGCTTTCCGAGAAAGTTACGTATGTATCTAACGAGAAAATGATTTCTAATAAATAGAAATTCAGATTATAACGTTCTGAGATTTTAGCATTTTTTCATTTTTATGTCATTGTTTAAACTAATGTATATTTGTTTTAACGTTCTTGTGCAGTGGTGACTTTGGAGGGGGAAATTTTCATCGAAAAGAATATCACATCGAAATTATTTAATATTTAAAGTATGTTAATAAGTATGTAATGCTTATACTAGTGTACATATATGTTATAACAAACTGAAATATAAAGAGAGTGAATTAGAATATTCAAATTATTGTTAATTAATCGATAGAAGTATCTATTGTTATCTAAAAGCTCGAAGAATATGATCTACGTACCGTCCTCTTCGCAATCCACCGTTGAAGTGAGTCATTGTCCTCTGTGAAAGTTCTTTTATCAAATGTTGTTTATACGAACTTCCAAATAAGGAAACCCTATTCATTGCGTATACATTGTTTTGGTTATACATACAAAGCCTTAGGGAAGTCATATAAATAATATTGAATAAAAGAACTTTCACATAAGACAACGAGCCAGTCACAAGGTGAATTCCGAAGAGGATAGTGCGTGTAATTTGTATCTCGTGCTTTTATATTACAATAAACGTTTATTTCGATTAATTGACAATTATTTAAGGATAATACGTGGAATACATTCAAGGTATTTTACATCTTCGTTTATTTTCATTCATCTTTGCATAAAAAAACTCATCCTTTTATAATAATTACCGATAATGTATTTCATCACATACATATACATGCACACATACATAGATTACACTAGTATTAAAACTTTTCATAATTTCGTTCAACTATCTCATTCTTTGTTTTCATCGCGTTTTATCAAATTTTATCTTTACCCGTCGTTTAAGAAGTTTCACTTAGAAAAACGAAAAGAACACGAGTAAGATTAGATTTTAATTCTTTTATGCTCACCACACCGAGATTAGTTTATCAGCGTGGAAACGACTTGACTTCATTAAAAAAAGAAAAAGAAAAAGAAGAAAAAGAAGAAGAATATTTTGACAAGAGACAGGTAAAATCAAATTCATTTGCGATTATTCATTTTGATATTCAAGAAAGAGATATCATTAGTTTTTACACGTATACAATAAATATATCTATAGTTACACGTATACAAATGTATTGATGTATGATATTATATAAGAAACATATTAACGTTATCATTATTTTTTTAATATCCAATTGGTCGATCGATATCGTAGCAATTATTCATCCGCGAATCGTTGAACTTTGCCATTTCTAAATGACATTAAAAAGGAAAGTATTGCATCGTTGAAGTAGTATTGCATAAAACTCATTCCAACTACGTTGAAACCTTTCCTTTATTACTCGTGGAAAATAAATGAAATATCTCAGGTCATTAAGGAAGGGAAATTCTAGTAGAAATTAAAGAGGTAAAGGTAAGACGACGAATAAATTCTATGAGGAATAAATGGAGATAAAGAATGGAAAGAAATACGAGAGAGAGAGAGAGAGAGAGAGAGAAGGGGCGGAGGGAGGGAGGGAAGGGAAAGAAGAACGAGTGGTACAAGCATAATTAATTAACGAGTACTACGATGAGGTAATAAAGGGGAGTGAGTTTTTCATTTTCTTTTTTCTTCTTCTTTTTTTTTTCTTCTTTTACATAGCTTCATGGAACCTATTGCACAATACAATTACCTGAAAAACGATATGTACCTAATCTTATGGAAAAAGTAAAGAAGGGAAGTGAGTTAGGGTGAAAATGAGTGGGAATTAGAAGAAGAAGAGAAAGAAAAAGAGAGAGAGGAAAAAGTTTTTAATTCGCGTGCACAAACGCAAACCAATTTATTCGTACTCTCGTCGCTTTCTCGTAGTCGTAATTTCCCTTTTCGATGTTCGTCCTCGGTTTTCTAGTCGCCCTTTTCCCACATTCCACTATCTTTTCTTTCTTTCTTTCTTTCTTTATTTGCTTTTGCGAAATTCTTCTTGATGGCAAAGAACCATTATCAAGAAGAAAACTGAACGAGTAAGAAGAAGAAGAAGAAGAAGAAGAATAAGAAGAAGAAGAAGAGGGTAGGGAGTGGGTGAGTGGGATGGGGGGGGGGAAATAAAGTTAAAAAATTTGTTCTACTTACTTGTCACTCTAAGTGTAAGGGAAGTGGGTCGACTAATTAGTCACCGGATTCGAGTCGTTTGCGGGTCATATCTTTCACGAAAGGAAGGAAGGAAGTCGTCCGTCTTTTTTATTTTTCTTTACTTTAAAAAGAAGAAAGAAAGAAAGAAAAAGAATAGGAGAGAGTGGGGAGAGAAGTAAAATACTGATTACTACTTTGAAATTTATTCGTGTTGAGTTACTTTCAACGACAACGACGACGACGATGATGTTGTGTTCAACTAAATGAAACTGTAAAGTGTCTACATTTCAATTTTTTTATCTATCGTATATGGTGTTTTCTTTTTATTACAAACTTAAACGTACATTATTTGTTTTTTTTTTTCACATTTCATATATGTAATATTATATTGTTATTATACGCGAG